ACGCATCATCTTGCCCTTGATCAAGGCCTCCGAGATCATCGGGACTTCAGGAAGTGCTGCCCTATGGGTACATGTCTGATAGCTAGCATTTCTCTGGCCCGAAGAGCCGTAACACTTCCTCCGCCGACCAAGAGTTGGTTTCTGACCTATGGATTCTCATACGCCACGCAGCAACAACGCCTTTAGATCACAGAGAAGTGATGCCCGAGGTCTTCTGTACTCGACACCATCACGTCATCTACACAATGAAGATTCCGAGATTAATTTTGTGCCTACATGCGCTAACATGTTTCGTAGTATTTTATCTTTCTATACAACTGGATTTGTGGATAACCACCCCCATTAGAACCTTAGTGGATATAAGAGCTACAGTCTGCCTTGTCCTATCGACGCAACGCAGTCACAGTATCGATAAGAAACAGAAATCGCCCAGAATTCAACGGAAAGTGGTGCACGGACGCAAGTAGTCGGTTCGATGCAATCGTCGTTATTATTTCCAACTTGCACCAAGGAGCACACTTTCCTGATCAGTCCTTATGTTACTTGGGACGTCTTAGTAGGTGTTGATTTTCTTTAAAAGTTTAATTGTTCATTTCGTATTCGAGATCGCACCTTATTTTTCGGGTCCAAAACTGCCCGCAATCAAACAGCCATGCTCACATTTCAGAAAGAGGAAGTGTGTGCAGCAAGTTCTACTGCTGTGGCACTGCCACCTAGAAATGTAGACAACATCCTGACAAACCACACCGGACTTCAAGCAAAAAACACCTTACAGCTTTTAAATCACTGCTAACGACCGTTGAGAACGTTCTTGCATGAGGCGAACACTCGTTAAGTTGTTCATCTGCTGTTCGACATCTAATTGAAATAGGGTTGGGACAACCAGTTTGGTAACCACCACGACGTATTCCACCTCATTTTCAACAAGAAATCAACGCGATGATCGAGAAGATGCTCGACGCCGAATAGCTGCTGTGGGAGCCTGCCTCTGTTGACTCACGCTGTCTGCCTTTGTTCGCCGCGCACTTGGCAACCGCTGCCAGAAGCCGTACGCTC